CCCAGGACGTTGCACTTGCTAGGCAAGTGCTTTGCCACTGAGCTACATTCCAGCCCTAAAATAATTTCTTTTAAAGAAAAGGTCTTCTCTCCAAGTTGTTTTCATGGTTACAAACCAGCAAAGTAGTTTTAAGGAAATATGTGATTTTTCCATCTTCTTTTTCTACAAAACACTAGACAAGCTAAAAAACAAAAGAATGGTTCATGTATTAGACTGTGGTTTAGTAGTGGTATCTTTCTGAATAAAGCAGTGTTTCATGACTGTATCTCTAAATTTTCATATTTATCACTGGGCAGGTTCTCATACTTAAATAAAGCAGAATTACATGGACTATAATATGACAAAGAAATCTGAGAGTAGTTTTGTTTGCTTTTGAGGTATGGAGGATTGAACCCAGATCCTTGCATATGTTAAGCAAGAGTTCTAACACTCAAGCCATGTTGTCAGCCTGAAAGGAACTCACTGCATATCTGTTCTTATGTACCTTTTTGAGTCCTTTTAGGCAATTAAAACCTTAAAGAATTAGATTAGGAAAGAAAAATGTTCATCATTTGAGACAACATCTCCATTTTTCAAATGGTGCTAAATATTCCAGACACAAAGAGAAGCATACGTGCACCTAGCAAAAAACAACTGCATTAAGAATAATCCAATACGCTCTTTCCCAGCTCTCTCTCTTTCCCAGGCCTTCCCCCCCCAAAAAAAGAATAATCCAATACTTGTAGTACAACTAAATGATAGAATTACACCACAGGAAAGAAACATGCTAAGAGGGAGTAAAGCTTTGTCATGAGCACCTCAAAATGGACAACCTTTGCATTGCAGTCTATCAACCTTGAACTTGAATGCTATCAGTTGCAATGTACAACTTAAAGCACTCCTATCATAAAACAGTCATTAAATTTACATGTCATATGGCAAACAGGCAATAAAATGAATGGAAAAACAAATTTATATTGTTTATCCTAATACTTACGTATGCCATACTGAGGCAATAAAAGAAATTGGATGGGTTGGGAAGGTGGCTCAGTAGTAGAGTTCTTGAGGCCCTGGGTTCGATTCCTTAGCACCACATAAACAGAAAAAGCCAGAATTGGGTGCTGTGGCTCAAGTGATAGAGTGCTAGCCTTGAGCTGAAGAGCTGAGGGACCGCCCAGGCCCAGAGTTCAAGCACCATGACCAACAAGAAAGAAAGAAAGAAAGAGAGAGAGAGAGAGAGAGAGAGAGAGAAAGAAAGAAAGAAAGAAAGAAAGAAGGAAAGAAAGAAAGAAAGAAAGAAAACAAAAAAGAAAAAGAAAAAAGGAAAGAAATTGGAAAGCTGTGTGATAGTGGCTCTCACCTATAATCTTAGCTACTCAGGAGGCTGAGGATCTCAGTTCAAAGCCAGTGTGGGCAGAAAAGTCCTTGGGACTAGTATCTCCAACTAACCATCAAAAAGCCAGAAGTGGAGCTGTCACTCAAGTGTAGAGTGCTAGTCTTGAGAACAAAAGCTCAGGGACAGGGCCCAACCCCAGGATCAACACCCACATACATACAAACACACAGTAGAAAAATGCATGATGCTATTTTATTTTGTCAGTCATGGGTCTTGAACTCAGGGCCGGAGCGCTATCCCTTAGCATTTTTGCTCATTTTGAACCACAGCGCCACTTCCTGTTTTCTGGTGGTTAATTGGAGGTAAAATCTCAAATGCTGGGTACCAGTGGCTCCCGCCTGTAATCCTAGCTACTCAGGAGGCTGAGATCTGAGGATTGCGGTTCAGAGCCAGCCTGGGCAGGAAAGTCTGTGAGACTCTTATCTCCAATAAAACCACTAGAAAACTGGAAGTGGCACTGTGGCTCAAGCGGTAGAGCGCTTGCCTTGAGCTGAAGAGTGCAGAGACAGCGCCCAGGCCCAGAGTTCAAGCCCCATGACAGACCCCCCAAAAAAAAAAATCTCACAGACTTTCCTGCCTGGCCTAGCTTCAAATCACAATCCTCAGATCTCAGTCTCTTGAGTAGCAAGGGCTACAGTTGTAAGCTAACAGTGCTCAGCCTTTTTGATTTTTTTTTTTTTTTGTCGGTCGTGGGGCTTGAACTCTGGGCCTGGGCGCCGTCCCTCAGCTCTTCAGCTCAAGGCTAGCACTCTACCACTTGAGCTACAGCGCCACTTCCGGTTTTCTGGTGGTTTATTGGAGATAGGAGTCTCATGGTCTCTCCTGCCCGGGCTGGCTTTGAACCGCGATCCTCAGATCTCAGCCTCCTGAGTAGCTAGGATTACAGGTGTGAGCCACCAGCGCCCGGCTAGCCTTTTTGATATTTTTAAATATAATAATAAGACAAAAAACAAACAGTAATCCTAATTTAGAACTACACCCTAGAAATATATATCACAGCTAAATTATAACACTATTTTTTGGGAATGTGGCTTAGTGGTAGAATGCCTGCCTAGCATGCATGAAAGCCCTGGGTTTGATTCCTCAGTAACATATAAACAGAAAAGGCTGTAAGTGATATGGTAGAGGATTAGCCTTGAGCAAAAGAAGCTCAGGGATAGTGCCCAGGACCAGAGTTCAAGCCTCAGAACTAGCAAAAAAAAAATAATAATAATAAGATGACTGTAGCTGTGTGTATTTGTCTCTGGGTTTTCTCTTCCACTGGTCTTTGGGTTTGTGCTTATGCCAGTACCACACTGTTTTCATTACTGCGGGTCTGTAATATAAAATCAAAGCCCAGTATTATGGTACCTGGAGTAATGCACTCATGTATTTTTCTAAATATGTATTCTGCCAAGCACTTGTGGCTCATGCCTGTAAGCCTAGCTACTCAGGAGGCTAAGATTCATGGTTCAAAGCCAGCCCAGATAGGAAAGGCTGTGAGACTTTCTTTTTGTCAGTCATGGGGCTTGAACTCTGGGCCTTGACGCTCTCCCTGAGCTCTTCAGCTCAAGGCGAACACTCTACCATTTGAGCCCCAGAACTGGCAAAAAAAAAAAAAAAGAGAGAGAGAGAGACCATTTTCTAAGAACATGTGTGGTGGCTTCTGTGTGTTAATTTTTTTGTTTTTGTGCCAGTACAAACTAGGGTTTAAACTCAGGGTCTGGATACTGTCCCTTAGCTTTTTCTGCTCAAAGCTAGTGCTCTATCACCCAAGCTACACTTTACTTCCAGGTTTTTGGTAGTTAATTAGATAGGAATCTCACAATTTCCCTCTTTGGGCTGACTTTAAACCTGTATCCTCAGATATCAGCTTCCTGAGTAGCTAAGATTACAGATATGAGCCACTGGTGTCCCACAAACATAAACTTGAGAGCCTGGTAAAAGGTGTGCTTAGCATAGAGGAAGCCATGGGGTTGATCCCAGCACTACAAAAAAGTAGTATTGGTAATAATTTCAAATTTCTCCTGTAATACAAAGTATACAAGATAATAAAAACACCCTCACATTTGAACTTATCAACAAAGTCTGAAAAAAAACCTAATTCAAATCCTACTACAAATGAGTCAATGAGATGATTCAAATATGCTGATCAAAAATCTACCTGTCAAGGGGATGGGAAGGTGGCTCAGTGGTACAGCACTTGCCTTGCATGCCTGAGGCCCTGGGTTCGATTCCTCAGCACCACATAAGCAAAAAGAAAAAAGCCAGAAGTGGGGCTGTGGCTCAAGTGGTAGAGCGCTAGCCTTGAGCTGAAGAGCTGAGGGACAGCGCCCAGGCCCAGAGTTCAGGCCCCACGACCAGACCAAAAAAAAAAAAAATCTACCTGTCAAACTATTTACATTTATTATCACCTAATGTGGAAGAAATAATTGTATTGTCAAAGCTCATAGAATTCACAAACTTTATAGACCATAATAATGATAATATCTGCCTTGTGAAGTTGAAATGTGTTTGTGACTTTAAATATCACTGTTCCACAATACTGTGAAATTATAAAATTTATGTAAGCACCTAATCTCAATAAAAAAATTAACATTTTTAAAATTATTTATTTATATAATTGCCCATCCTGGGGCTTGAACTCAGGGCTAGGTCCCTGTCCCTGAGCCTCTCTGTGCTGAAAGCCTAAAAAAAAAAAAAAAAAAGACTCTGATCGTGAGTCCACCAGATGAGATGCTTATAGCCCATTAATACAAAAATTTTTTTGGCAAATTAAAGACTCAGAAGTCTCAGTGTCAGGAATGGTGGTTCCCATCTATAATCCAACAGAACTCAGTCTGAGGCCAGTTAAAGCAAAAGCTAAAAGCAAAAAATACACTAAAAGCAAAAGATGGAGGAGGCTAGAAATATGACTGAAGTAATGAAGCACCTGTCTCATAACCATCAAACCCCTAGCCCTGAGCCTCTCTGTGCTCAAGGCTAATACTCTACCACTTGAGCCACAGTGTCACTTCCGGCTTTTTCATTTTATGTGGCACTGAGGAATCAAACCCAGGACTTCATGAATATTAGGCAAGCACTCTATCACTAAGCCACATTCCCAGCCCAATAATTTACTTTTACGTAGAAATATTGTATCTATCTGTTATGAAAAATTCATCAACATAAACACACATAAACCAAGAGAGTAATATATTCTCATCTCTAACCAGAAAATTGGTGGCAAACATTTTTATCATTATGTCTTAATCCACTGTGGAACTCAATTACACAACACTGTTTGGTGACTACTTTAATCTTTCCAATAGCAAACATTCTCACAAAAACAGAACAGAAGCTGGGCACCAGTGGCTCATGCCTATAATCCTAGCTACTCAGGAGGCTGAGATCTCAGGATCGAGGTTCAAAGCCAGTCCAGGTAGGAAAGTCCGTGAGACTCTTATCTCCAATAAACCACTAGAAAAAAAAGTGGTATTGTGGTTCAAGCTGTAAAGTGCTCTCCTTGAGCATTTCTGAAGAGCGCAGGGACAGCACCCAAGCCCAGAGTTAAAGCCCCACAACCGACTCAAAACAACAACAACAAAAACAGAACAGATAGATGGAATACAGGTAAGTTCTAAATGGGACTGTCTAGTCATCTCACCAGATTGATCAGCCTTCTCATTGCATGTTCATGAGAGCAAACACATTCACAGGGATCGAATCCACCTTCTGCCATGATTACCCAGCTTGATTTTACTTGACTGTTTAAATCTAGAAGGAAGGAAAAAATAGTTTTAGTCGAATATTTAGGTACTCTTTTCAGCTATAAAAAATTATGTATTATATAGTATCATAATGGTCTTATTAAACATAGTTTATATCTGCTGGTTTTACTAAACTTTGATCTATATGTACAAAATTTACTATTAATTCTATATTAATTAAAAATCACAAAATTACAAATCTATAAAACTGACTGGCTTTTCATCAGTCTAATTTTCTCTAAAAGCAGATTTTTTGGATACCCTGCCTATGATGCTACAAACTATTCAGTTTAAATACTTTGTGTGTGCTAGTACTGGGACTTAAAAACAGGGCAATCTTGCTTAGTTTAGTTTGCTGAAGGCTGGTGCTCTACCACATGGGCCATACCTCCATTTCCAGCTTTTTGCTAGTTAGAGATGAGTCTCAGATTTATCTACCTGGCCTAACTTCAAACTATGATCCTTACAACTCAGCCTTCTGGGTAGGTAGGATTATAATAGGTGTGAACCACTGTCACCTAGCACCTGTTTAGTTCCTGTAATCAAACTTTCACTCTATAAGAAAGCTAGGATAGGAGCTGGGAATGTGGCTTAGTAGGAGAGTGCTTGCCTAGCATGCATAAAGTCCTGGGTTCAATACCTTAGTACCACATAAGTGGGAGGGGGAGAGGGAAGAAACTCAGGCATGATAGTGCTAAGGCCCTGAGTTCAAGTCCCAGGACTGGCAAAAGAAAAAAAAAAAAGAAATCAGGGATAATGGCTGGGTACTGATGGCTCATGCCTGTAATCCTAGCTACGAATGAGGCTGAGGTCTTAGGATAACTGTTGAAAGCCAACCTGGGCAGGAAAATCTGTGAGACTTTTATTTCCAAGTAAATCACAGAAAAAGCCAGAAGTAGTGGTGTGGCTCAAGTGGTAGAGTGCTAGATTTGAGCAAAAGGAGTTCAGGGAGAGTGGCCAGGCCCAAAGTTCAATCCTCAGGACCAGGAAAAAAAACAACAACTGGAATACTTTCAACACTCACTAAAAAAAATACTCAACTGTTTGTGTGTGTGTGGGGGGGGTGCGTGCGCGCGTGTGCGTGCGCGTGCGCGTGCGTTGTGACTAGTGCTAGAAGCCAGGGCCTAGGCACTGTCCCTTAGCTTTCTCGACTCAAGGCTAGCTAGCGCTCTACCACTTGAGCCACAGCTCTACTTTCTGGCTTTTGGTGGTTAAGAGTCAAAAGGCTTTGCTTTTTTGTAACCCAACATTGCTAAATAGTAAATATTTTCAAAGTAGTTTCCCTGGAAGTATGGGTTAAGCAGTAGTGAGACTGCCTGGCACGCGGCAAGGCCTTCAAACTTCAAATCCTAGTACTGAAAAAAAAATTTAATTAAATAAGGTGATTTTAACACAAAATGATTGAGAATCAGACATGAATTTGAAAAAGGAACAGGAGCTGGGAAGGTGGCTCAGTGGTAGAGCACTTGCCTTGCATGCATGAGGCCCTGGGTTCGATTCCTTAGCACCACATAAGCAGAAAAAGCCAGAAGAGGCGCTGTGGCTCCAGTGGTAGAGCGCTAGCCTTGAGCTGAAGAACTCAGGGACAGCGCCCAGGCCAAGTTCAGGCATCATGACCACCACCAACAACAACAAAAAAAGTAACAATCAAGTGGCACACTAAATAAAACAACAGTAGCTCTCAGATTTATAATGGTATTCATGAGGTTTATATAAAATGACCTTACTGCCGGGCGCTGGTAGCTCACGCCTGTAATCCTAGCTACTCAGGAGGCTGAGATATGAGGATCGTGGTTCAAAGCCAGCTTGGGCAGGAGGCACCTTGAGACTCCTATCTCCAATAACCACCAGAAAAAACCGGAAGTGGCGCTTTAGCTCCAGTGGTAGAGCGCTCGCCTTGAGCTGAAGAGCTGAGGGACAGCGCCCAGGCCCAGAGTTCAAGCCCCACGGCTGACCAAAATAAAATACAATAAAATAAAGTGATCTTACTTGCTACTTATGTTACCAACAGATGTAACTTTTCAACCAATAACTAATACAACAGGCCAAAAGTTTAAAAGAACACAACTGAGGAGGGTGCTGGTAGTTCATGCCTGTCCTAGCTACTCAAGAGACTGAGATCAGAGGATTGAAGTTCAAAGCCAGCCCTGGCAGGAAAAGTCCATGAAACTTTTATCTCTATAATCATCACCAAAAAGCTGATGTGGTGCTATGGGCTTGAGAGGCAGAGTACTAACCTTGAGCATAAAAGCTCAGGGACTGCACACAGGCCCTAAGTTCAAGCCCCAAGACACACACACACACACACACACACACACACACA